TTATAAGTTGAATAATGTATTTCTACATAAAATATAAATCTTTTCCCCTTATTTATTTTTGGGATTGCAAATTAAACAAATGATGATGAATATAAAGAGGCTTATCTTCTGGCCCCTCATTGCCTCTCACGAACTGTATGACCATGAGTAATACTCATCTCTCTCAACTTTGGTTTCCCTCCATTTATGAAAGTTAGGAGATTGGGTGAGATTATTCTTAAGAATTCTTCCATCTCCAAAATTTTATGGTCATGAGGAAAATATAATTCACATCATCTGGAAGCGAAAGAAAAAAACGGCAATTCTACCAACTATGGAAGGTAATTACTCTGTGGCATACATAATTTCTACCCCAGAGCTATAGGCTTATAAAGTAAAAAAGGCTTCTTTTATTGATCAAAGCTCTTGACTATAAAGTACAGGGTATTGCTCTTTGAGTCTTCTTTAAATTAGAATGTCTATGATTAATTTCAGATGGGGGAAGCAAGTTTGAGAGACCTCTGGGAACAGAGCTGAACATGTCAGATTTTTAGGTTTTATCAAGGAGCTCTTCAATAGGAAAAAGAAGCAGGAATACAGAAGCAAAACAAAATCAGGACTCCAAGAGCTCAGCCACAAACCAAAGAATGGCTCTGCAGTGGCGTCTTCACATTTATTCTGGAAAGCCTCCTACTGCAAGGATGTATTTGTTACTAAAACTTGGAGAAAATAAAGCCCAATCTTTATCAGAGAAATGAAGCCCTGCCCTGGTCTTATGGAAGCTCATTTTTGTTGTTGTTGTTGTTATTAATCCTCACCCAAGGCTATTTTCCCATTGATTTTTAGATAGAGTGGAAGGGAGGGGAAGAGACAGACAGAGAGAGAAACATCCCCTGCCTGGAATCGAACCCAAGACACTTCAGTCTGCAGGCCCATGCTCTACACACTGAGCCAAACTGGCTAGAGCCTTCAGCCCTGAGGGCAAAACCCCCACCAGAAGAGTCATTTCTTCATGGTGCCTGTGCAGATGCTGTTATTAAAGTGTGGGGAGAGAGAGATACAAAGTAGTAAAAAAATTATTTTATTTTTTGTAGGAAAGCAAACAAGAATTTATTGACTGCAGCAAAAATAAACTTAGGGCAGTGAAACAAGGACATAGAAGAAGCAACAGGAGAGCCTGGGCTGGGCTGCGTGGCTCACTGGAAGTCGGAGAAAACGGGGCCTTGGTAACAGGTTCAAAGGATTAGTTAGCCCAGACAAGGTGCCTCTGCCCATTGTTTCCCTGGTTGCAAGTCTCATGGGGTCCCTTAGAGGTTAGGGGATAGTGCCTGAGGGGGAATGGCAGAGGAAAGGGAATGGCAGGCGGGCTCCCTGCAGGGAGAGTGCCCCAAGGTGGTAGAATGTAAGCATCCATTTCCTTTCCAGGAACCCTGAATATGTGCCCACCCTGCATAGTCTAACATAAAATGTTTGTCAAAAATCACCTGGCTTGGGACTACAAAATAAAATCCACTCATATTCCCTAGCAAAACCAGCTTTTGTGTAAAAATGTAAATTCTCATATTTGTAGACCTACTTGTAGCAGATAGGCAATTTAAGGGCAAGAAAGTCTCCCTTCTTTAAGTAGAAGCATAGAAAAATAGTGGTGCTAGTTGGAAATACTGACATATCAGGAAGGAAATTCATCCATCATATGCCAGATCTTGAAATTCTTGGCTTTGGTTCCTGAGGCATAAAAATCATGGCCTGAACAGCTTTTCTTAAAATAAATTTGGTCTTCCTTCGCATTCCTACAAAGAGACACTTCATTTATATCATTAGTTACTTTGGAATCTCAGGGGAAATTTTTCCCAAAGTAATAGAAAATTAACAGTAATTTGTGGGATTTTACTTGTAAGGGAAATGCACTGAAAGAGGTAAAGACAAAGCAAGAAATTCTCCGTAAGGGGTGACAGCTAAGCTGGTCCCTGAATTGACAGCCAGCAGACAGGCTTGGAATGGTAATGAACCCCTTGAAAATATCCTGCTGCTGTGAAATGCTACTCATTCAAAACTAGGCCCAATTGTGTGTCATATACTCTTACTCAAAATCTCTAACATTTTTTAAAAATATAAGAAAACAGCCCAGGTGGCATGGCTCAGAGGTTGCGCACTGACCTATGACCCAGCAGGTCACAGTTCTATTCCAGGTCAAAGCTCATACCTGGGGTTTCGGGCTCAATCCCTAGTGTGGGGCATGCAAGAGGCAGCCGATCAATGATTCTCTCTCATCATTGATGTTTCTATATCTCTCTCTTCCTCTCCCTTCCTCTCTGAAATCAATGTGTGTGTATATGTGTGTGTGTGTGTGTGTGTACATATACACACACACACACACACACACACACACACACACACACACACTGAGTGGCCAGATTATTATGACCGGACAGATTGTTATGACCAACCCATCAGTACTTTGTTGGGCCACCTTTTGCCTTCAATACTGTGGATATTCTTCTTGGCATTGACCCCACGAGATGTTGAAAGTTGATGCGAGGAATCTGACACCATGCCTGATGAATAGCACTGTCCAGTTCTGTGAGATTTGATGGTTGTGAAACCAGCTGCCTGATGGCTCTTTTAACTTCGTCCTACAAATGCTCAATTGGATTGAGATCTGGTGATTGTGGGGGCCACCTAAGCAAGGTAAAGTCTCCCTCATGTTCTTGAAACCACTCCTGCACAATACGAGCACCATGGCATGACGCATTGTCTTGTTGGAAGAAGCCATCTCCTTTGGGATACACCATCAACATGATAGGATGAACTTGATCAGAAATGATACTTAGGTATGTTGTGCTATTCAGACATTTATAATGACCTGGCCCTTTAGCAACTTCAGCGCGAAATTATAGCTAATTTGCCTACAAACGTCAGGTGGTCATAATAATCTGGCCCAGCCGTGGGCAAACTACTGCCCGTTTGAAATGAATAAAACTAAAAAAAAAAAAAAGACCGTACCCTTTTATGTAATGATGTTTACTTTGAATTTATATTAGTTCACACAAACACTCCATCCATGCTTTTGTTCCGGCCCTCTGGTCCAGTTTAAGAACCCATTGTGGCCCTCGAGTCAAAAAGTTTGCCCACCCCTGAGATTCTGGCCACTCAGTGTATGTATGTATATATATATATTTAAATTAAAAAAATAAGTAAATAATAAAAAGAATATAAGAAAACAAAAAGAATCACTAAGAAGTACAAAAATGTACACAGCTTTTTAAGTCCCTAAAGCCAAGGAATCAGAAAATTGCTGGTGCTCTTATTTTCAATGAGCACATCTTGAAATACCACACTCTGGGAGTGGCAATTTCATCTCAGATAGATTTTTTGTTGTTGCTGTCAACCATTACTTTGGAACTAGACTTATTGATATTACCAATATTACCACAAACTGTGTATTCATTGAAACTTGTTCTTTTCTATTCCTTTTTTATGTTGAAAATATCTCCATAGTCCTTCTTGAAGACACTGCCACTAAGGGGGATTAAATTTTGTCTAAAGAAAAAGTGCACAATTTTCCCCATACTGTGGAAATGTTTAGGATGAACTGACAAAAAAAAAAAAGCAAGAATTTGTAAATTCATTGGCAACTTTATATATTTTCTTCCCTCAGAATATCTTTGGTTATTCTCTATTGATTGGGAAGTCACTTCTCATTATTTTTTATTTCTATCATTTTTCTATAAATACTATATTTGAATTTTGAGGCAGGCCCTTCCCTTTGCTCTAACTGATGAACGGGATATCAAGTAGTACACTGTATGATCACTATAATATAGTACTTAAAGGGGACACACCAATACAAAGGCATAAGGTAGCACTTTTATTATAGATTCATATTATTACCAGGAAGTGTTAAAAGCCACTTTCTCTGGAAAACTCTAAGTATTCTTTACACATCCCTCAGATAAAAATTATAAAGTTGGAGGTACAGTAAAAAGTGATAAGAATAACATTTTAAGTGCTCTCCAGTTTTATGATTCTACATGTGTCTTTTTTCCTAATATATACTTATAAAAATAAAAAAGAAATCCAAAGAAATGTCTTATTTCACACCCACATTTCCTCAAACTCCATAGTCTTCAAACTCCTCTCCCACACCATTTTCTTTCACATTCTACAGGTAGGAACCTATACAATATGAAGTTAATAAGTTGTCTTATCCCAGGACTATCTTAAAACATTACAAACACTCAATATATCCCTGAACAGGACTCTGGATGGTACTAAAAGGTCCTGATATGATATTTTATAAAACAAACACAAGCAAAAATTTTATGATGTAGTTATTCAACTGTACTGCCCAAAGGTATGAAGAAGGTCAATTCTCTTTAATATTCCCATTTCCCAGCACTCCAAAAATCTATTTCTTAAAGATATAAAATTATTTATGTTATTATTCCTCTATTCAAAAATCTTCTCTCATATAAAGGAGATTCTATTTATGGGTCGTTTCTCAGATTTGCCATAGAATTCACACAAGTATAAGTCCTGTTTGTGTTTAATATCAGTATAATACTGATTTGTTTCTTAAGTTGATCTTTACCCTCCTATCAGGGAGTATAAAACTTTCCTCAGACTCACAATTAACTACCAAAATCAATACCATATGCTTTTAGCCCAGCCAGTGTGGCTCAGTGGTTTACCATCAACCTAGGAACCAGGAGGTCATGGTTCAATTCTTGGCCCAGGTTGCGGGCTCAATCCCCAGTACAGGGCATTGCAGGAAGCAGCCGATCAATGATTCTCACTTATCACTGATGTTTCTATCTCTCTCTCCCTCTCCCTTCCTCTCTGAAATCAATAAAAATATATTTAAAAAAACAACAACAACCATATGCTTTTGCTTACGACTTGTTTTGTTATAAGAGAATATTTATGGCAGACTTCTACAAAAAGTTCGAATTTCTTTTAGAAAGTTTAAAAAGAAATTGAAGACATAGAAAGATATGATTTTATAAGGAGCCACTATTTACCTGTACATGAATAGTCATCAATCCTGATGTATCCAGTTTTACAGATGCACATGAAGGAGCCCGGGGTGTTGACACACATGGTATTCTCCCGGCAGTAATGGCGCCCTTCAGCACATTCATCAATGTCTGTGAAGAAAAGACAGGGGAAAGAAGTCAATAGTGGCCAATATTCTAGAGCAGGGGTGGGCAACCACTGGCACGCATGCCAAACATGGCACGCCAGTAACTTTTGCTGGCACGCGAAACCCTCTCTTATAATCTTCCATTTACAATTTTTTTCTTAATATTGACTTTTTTATTTCTCAGGTAAATTCAGTGTAGGTGCATCTTAGATAAATATATAATTTTACATAACATGTATACATTAAAAATAAATGTATTTTTCATCACCATATACTGTGTTTTTGTTGCTTGAATGAATTTTATTATTTCTTCAAGGTTCTTCACATACGTACACCTTAAGAGATATCAAGTAGGTGTAACATGTTCTCAAAAAATTAGGGTTGGCACGCAGAAGAATTTTGAGTCAGAGATTTTGCTGGTTTTGGCACGCACTCACAAAAAGGTTGCCCACCCATGTTCTAGAGTTTCTTATAATTTTCTTTGGCAGGGAGTAACAATAGTTACTAATTGAAAAGAATTTTAAAAAAGTATCCAAGTGCTGGCCAGTTTGGCTCAGTCAATAGAGCATTGGCCTGAGGACTGAAGGGTCCTGGGTTCCACCCCAGTCAAAGGCATGTACCAGGTTGTGGGCTCAATCCCCAGTTGGGCGTGCAAGAGGCAGCGTATCAATGATTCCCATCATTGATGTTTCTATTTCTCTCTTCCTCTCCCTTCCTCTCTTAAATCCATAAAAATCTGTTAAAAGTTTTTTAAAAAAAGGTATTCAAAACATCTTTAATAGGAATGTTTGGTGTCCAAATGACAGAAACTATAAAAGTTTTTCCAGCAGCTCTTTCTGAGGTTTCAAAGATGTCTATGTATTCCAACTTGCAGCATTCTAAATATAATTGGAAATTTCCAGTGCATTCATCTACCTGTGTGTGATTAACAGAATCAGAAAGTACAGATTGGGCTGCCTTACAGTCTCGGAAGCTTCTATTACTGAGCCTATCATATATTATTTTTTGATTCACTGGCTGTTCTGTACACTTGGTGAGACCCTGCAAGAGGTGAATAAAATATTCAATATACACTAGGACTTCAATAACTTCACTTAGAGATATGAAACCAATAACATGTAGCTTATTAGAGATACAAGTGGAGATACAGCTATCCCAGTAAATGTCAGAACAGAGATGAAATTACAATGTAGAGACCTGATATAAATGAGAAACTGTAAAATAAGGTATCATAGTGAAGAACTTCTATATTAATTCATACACCAAGTTTTGAGTATAAAGACTTACAAATGTTAAGCCATAATAGGCACTAGTACTAATTGGGAAGAATGTGAATTTTGACAATAAAACTGTCCCCATTTTATAGCACCTCTCTGCATGGAACATAAAAGTATTTTACAAATATTTTATTATTATGTAAAACTCTTAATTAAGGGCCTTAATGCATTGACCAGGCAAGGTTCTTCTCCTCCAGAAGTCTGCTTTCTCAAATCCTTGTGGCAAATTCATAAAGTAATGTTGTCCTCATTTGTACTATTAAGAGAAATGGATCAATTACAGGACATAGTCAGGTGAGCCACTACCAAAGAAGTCGTGCTATTCATATAACCTCAACTATGCTCCCAGTCCAGAGAGCATCAAAAGAAATAATTGACACAACCTCAGGAAGCCATATTTTAGAGTTAGAGGTCTCTTGGCAATCATCTGAGCTAACTACATTTTTTTTACAGATGGAAAAACTAAGATGTAGAGGAGTGGTTTTCAACCTTTTGGCCCTTTAAATACAGTTCCTCATGTTGTAACCCAACCATAATATTATTTTTGTTGCTACTTCATAACTGTAATGTTGCTACTGTTATGAATCGTAATGTAAATATCTGATATGCAGGATGGTCTTAGGTGACCCCTGTGAAAGGGTCATTCGACCGCCAAAGGGGTTGCGACCCACAGGTTGAGAACCACTGAAGAGACTCAATTTTCCACTCAACTTTTAAATGAAAGTCCAAACAATAAATTCCAAACCTCTTAGCATACAAAGCTCTTCCCAGTTTAACTCTTATTTTTCCATCTTTGTATCTTATGACCTCCCTCTCCTCTTCCCTCTCAGTGTTCTGGGCCCACTGAGCTGCTGATTATTCCTTGAATGGGCCATGTTCTTGCATAACTATGTGCCTTGGCTTATGCTTTCTCTCTACTCCTTCTCAGCCTACTACGACCCAGTGGCTCTGGTCCACCAGTGCATACATCGGTCAGAAATCTGTTTAAATGTCTCTCTGTGAAAACTTCCCTAATGAAGTAAAATGCTCCCTAGGCAATGTTCCCTTGGAAGTTTGTAAATGTTTACATTTTAGATCCATCCATTTTACCTTTTTAATTTTGTGAGCCTCTTCTCCACAATAAGCCATATACTCCTCGAGGGCAGGGATCATCTGTTATGTTTGTGAACTCTGACTGCACATTATTTTATCTAGGATGCTTTTTAGAAACAATGGTTCTTGGGTCAACTCCCAACCCCCCACTCCATCCAAATTCTGATTTAATTCTCTTGGTGAAACACGGGCAATTTTTTAAAATCTTCTCCATGATGAATCTAATGCAGGAGTCAGCAAAATTTTTCAGTAAAGGTCAGATGCTAGATATTTTAGGCTTTAGGAATCATCGGATCTCTGTTGCAACTTATTAACTCCATTGTTGTAGCATGAAAGCAACCATAGACAATATGTACATAGTGTTCTAATAAAATGTTATTTATAAAAACATATGGGGAATAAAATTTGGCATGCAGACCACAATTTGATTAGCCCCGGACTAATGCATAACCGTGTTAAGAAGCACTGAGAATTTAATTCATTTTTGTATCCACAATACCTTGTAAGGTGTCTAGGACATTATGGGGTCAATAAATATTACAGGATGAATGAATAAATGCTTCAAGGCTAGCTTAAGAAAGACCTAAGATTTTCTGACTTATAGGATAATATTCTTTTCTTGATAACATGCTACTTCTCAATGTTTGCATTGTTCTGCAAGGAAAATACCACATTCAATTACAGTCTGAAAATTAACTACAAGCAACCTGGGGGAATATGATGAAAAACTAATTTGCTTCCAGGGTCTTAAGATCATAATAGGAATGATGGGATTATTGATGTGTTCAGCTTGATCAATAGACTTTAACCCCACTCCTCTGAGAGGGTGCTGTGGAGAAGAGGAAGCTACTGAGAGCCATGGCAGGAGTCCTCTGGGCTTATGCTTGGCATCTGGAGGGAAGGCCATGAAGTTCACGTGCACAAAGGCATGAAGATTTCACCTTTGGGGATAAAACAACCAAGAATAATGAACATGACTCAGGGAAGACACCTTGGTTCTCAGAGGGAAGAATTACCGAATACACTGGAATCTGCTCAGAAGAAGAGTAGTTCCTGTGAGAGGCCACAGACCTTAGGGGAGTGAAGGAAGTAGCTTCAGTGCCTAGAGCAGGGCTAAGTCCTGGAGGAGGGAGCTTTAATTATTTAAGGCACTGCACCTCTCTCTAGACCAAGCATGTCAAACTCGCAGCCCGCGGGCCACATGTGGCCCAAATGAATATTTTTGCGGCCCAGCCAATATAACGGTATATAAGAAATGTTTTAATAAACGTTTGTAACTTAATTTTTACAATATCCTGTTATACATAATTATTAATAACAAACTACAACATTTGCTAATGACTGGTTACTATAATCATGTTGGATTCATTTCCTTACACACCTTACGCAAAGGCGCATCATTTCTCTCCACTGATACTAACAGAGAATATTTTAGCAGCCGATTGCCACATCATTAGTCCTGGACTGACGTGCTTGGTGTGTGCAACAGGAAATATTTCACTTTCAGAGAACAAGAAAAATAGGTTTATTTGCATTATGCTTATTAATTTGTGTAGTTATTTGGTGTCTGGTAAGTTAATGTTCAAGAAAAAATATTAATTTTTATTAAAATGTTCTATTATTTTATATTAACAATTACTCATTTATTTCAGCCCTTTGTATTCAGCATGTCTTTGTTGAAATAAACTTACGTTTCTATGAAAATTGAAGCTTTTGTTTTTTTGCGGCCCACATAAACTTAAACCTTGTTCATTTGGCTCGTGTTAGCCTTTGAGTTTGACGTGCTTGCTCTAGGCAGTCTCCTAAGGAAGGACACCTAGCCCAGCAGGACTAGCTACCAAACGTGGAAAACCAAACTCATAAGTATAGGTGACGCATCCCGCATCTCTTCCAAGAATACTACAGGAATGGGAACGTGGACAGTACTAAATCCTATAGGAGGAGATGGGGAAAAGACACAGTGACTTAGGATTATTTTTATTAATATGACCCTAGTTACAGCCACACGCTATTGGAGAAGTTGGTTTATAGGAATAATTTGCTAAAGGGTAACACTCTAACTGTTGTTTGTTGTTGGGTCTACATGTTGGGAGACACTGCTCTACCAGTTTCCTTTTGTAAATGTTTCCCTTTTAAGCTAACATATGGTCAGAGAAAATGCAAAGCAGGGTCATAAACAAAAACAAGGGACCTAGTTAATGTGAAGCTTTTTAGGAACTTGAAGGATCTGGATCAGATAGAAATATTGGATCCAAGACCAAAAGATATGAAATGTCATGCCTATTTCTTGAAGCACTATTGTGAGGGGAAAATAAGTAAAATACCAAAACATATAATCTCAACACTGTACACCTAATCACCAATTGCCTTTTTAAATTTCTCATGCCCAATCTTCAGAAAGGGAACTCCCAAAGAGCCACATTTACATACCACAACTGCAAAGCTACATAAATGGCATTTCCACTGACATAGGTAGATATTCAGAGGCACAAAAATGGCAAAACTAAAAAGGAAGCTGATGTAAAATCACGTTCAAACTTAGTCCAGGGTATATTTTAGTTCCAAATCCCAATTCAAAACATAGTCAAATTTTCACAGTTCAATTCAATTCTCTACACTTTATTGAATGTCTTCT